TCAGCTTTTCTCATTTCAACTTGAAAGACTGCAAATAGTTATAGAAGATGAACCACATGTATCTGTTCCTAAAAAATGCCATACAGCACTCAAAAGTGCCGGACAGAAGTTATGCCCTAGCAGTACATACTTTGGCAATTTTAATTTTCATTGATATGTTTTCCTAGTTTCCCCCACAACAATTCCTACATCAAAACCTCTAAAGTCATCCATTAAGAATGCGCTCAATAAGACTAAGTCAAAAGAACCTATACACCAAGGCATCATAAAAAGAATCAGACCTTTAAAAAAAAATTAAGTTAACCTTACATCATGAGAAAAACAGTAATTAAGGTTATGTCTAAACTGATTCTTTTTCCTTTCCCTTTGCTCTTTGATATTCAAGAGTGCTTTGGTGAACTCTGCAATAAAATTCCCAATCCCAGCAATTAGAATGCGGGGAAACGAATCAATAGAGTATACAGCCTCCAAGGGCAGACACCACGACTGGTTGTATTAATCGATACCCCTTCTAACAGTCACACTGATGTATGACTGAAATAAAGAACCTTTTTTTTTTTCTCTTCCGCAGCTGGGGATGGAACCCACGGCCTCCTGCATGGTGGCATGGGCTCTTCTACAGAGCTACACACCCAGGCCCCAGGAAACTTCCTTAAAGCAGTTTAAAGAAGAAAAAAGCCTTAAACTTATATACCCTTTGACCAGTAAGTCTACTCTAGGCATTTACCTGAGGCAAATAATTACTACCTGAGCAAATACTTGGATTCTAAAAAGTGCAAAGCCACCAGCTTTAAAAGTACAATCCAAGCACTGCACACACCTGGAGGGGTGGCCCAGGAGACATGCCTCATCGGAACACAAGTGCTTGCCACATGCCCACCAGACCAGCGTCCTTCCTGTGGGCTTTAGCCCAGTTACCATGGATCTTTAGCACTCAGACCACAGTATCTCACGTCTCTTCTCATCTGGATAAGGAAAGCGAGGACAGGGAGGTTAAGTTACTTGTTCGAATCCAGTTGACCGATCCTAAAGCCCTGCTGTTGTCACCAAGACCATGTTGGAAACACGGGTTTCTCCTCTCTGGACCCCTTATCATCCTTTTTTAATAATCCCGAGAGGATCACCATCCATAAAGCTCACAGATGCCAGTGCACCTCACAGACGTGGGTGTTCCACAAGCAGAGGACCTTCAATAATCTTTCAAGTATAAAACTGTTCAAATACTATTTTTTCCAGTGTATCACTATTCTCCCCATTTCTTCATACTCACTTGTAACAATGTTAGTTGAACTGTTTCAAAGAATGGAAAGATAAATAAGAAATCCTAAATAAAACAATATATTTAAAATGAATTTTGCCCTTCAACCCAGTGCTACAGGGGAGCCCACTGGCACAGGTGCCAATACAGCAGAGCTGAGAACGATATACAAAAATCAATGAATCAAAGAGCTGGTTTCTCAAAAGAATAAGCTGATAAACCCTTAGCCAACCTTATCAAAACAGGAAAAAAAGGCTCAACTTCATGCAATTAGAAATGAAAAAGGTGAAGTCACAATAGATCCAGCAGAAATCCAGAGGTTTATCAAGACCTACTTCGAAAATCTATACTCTAAAATGGAAAGTAGAAAATGGACAGAGTCCTTAGATACATATGAACTCCCAAAGTTGAACAAAGATACAAAAAGTCTAAACACCCCAATTACATTCAGCAAAATTGAAAATGTAATTGAAGCATCACCAACAAAGAAAAGCCCAGGTCCTGATGGCTGCAATGCTGAATTCTACAATACATTTAGAGAAGAACTATTGCTACTATTCTTTAAACTCTTCAATGAAATTGAAAGGGAAGCAATACTTCCAAATTCAATCCTGGAAGCAAGTATTACTTTGATTCCAAAACCAGGGAAAGGACCCAGCCAAAAAAAAGAGAACTACAGGTCAATCACCCTAATGAACATAGATGCAAAAATCCTCAGTAAGATACTGGCAAACAGAATACAGAAGATCAACAAGAAAATCATATACACACTAACCAATTTGGATTTATCCCAGGGATACAAGGATGGTTCATCATACGTAAATCAATATATGTAATACACTATATTAAGAGAATTAAAGACAAAAACGATATGATCATCTCAATAAATGCAGAAAAAGTATTCGACAAAATTCAACACACATTCATGAAAAAAACTACAGAAAACTGGAATACATGGTCTTTATCTCAACCTGACAAAGGCTATCTATGAAAAGTCAACAGCCAATATCATTCTAAATGCTCAAAAAACTAAAAACATTCATGCAAAAATTGGGAACAAGACAAGGATGTCCACTGTCACTACTCCTGTTCAATATAGTTCTAGAAACATTAGCCACAGCAATTAGACAGGAAAGGAAGAAGTTAAACTATCAATTATTTGCTGATGATATTATATTTTACATAGAAGATTCAGAAAACTCTGCCAAAAGACTGCTAGACTTCATAGATTCAGTAGAGTAGCGTGACACAAAGTCAACACTCAAAAATCAATAGCCTTCTTATACACAAATAACAGACACACCGAGAGAGAAATTAGAGAAACAATTCATCTCACAATAGCACCCCAAAAAATGAAGTATCTAGGAATCAATCTAATGAAGGAGACAAAAGACCTCTACAATGAAAATTACAGAACTCTGAAAAAAGATCGAAGAGGATATAAGAAAATGGAAAGACACCCTTGCTCCTGGGTAGGCAGAATCAACAGTGAAAATGGCCATACTTCCAAAACTGCTATACAGATTCAATGTAATCCCGATTGAAATTCCAACAGTAATATTTCACAGAATTTGAGAAAACAATCCAAAAATTCATTTGGAATCAGAAGAGACCTAGAATAGCAAAAACCATTCTAAGCAACAGAGACATGGCAAGGGGTAATCACAATTCCCGACTTGAAACTATACTACAAAGTTAATGTGATAAAAATAGGATGGTAGTGGCAAAGACACAGACCTGAAGATCAGTGGAATAGATCAGAACATGCAGAAACAACACCAGACACACTCAGCTACCTCATCCTTGACAAAGGAGCCAACCATCCTCAGTGGAGGAAAGATAGCCTCTTTAATAAATGGTGCTGGAAAAACTGGCTTTCAACCTGCCAAAGATTAAAACTAGATCCCTATGTTTCACCATGCACTAAACTAAAATCCAAATGGATTAAAGATCTAAATATCAAAACAGTCCTTGGCATAGAAGACTTTATGAACAAATCAATAGCACAAGAACTTGCACAAAGAATCAACAACTGGGATCTCAGTGCATTAAAACATTTCTGCAGTGTAAGAGAAATTACCAAAAGAGCTAAGAGACAACCCACAATGTGGGGAAAAAATTTTATCAGCTACTCCTCAGACAAAGCACTACTATCTAGGATATACAAAGAACTCAAAAAAAATCAGACCCCCAAGTACAAAGACCCATTTCAAAAATGAGCATCTGAAATGAACAGACATTTCCCAAAGAAGTAACAGCAGCAAATAATCATATGATAAAATGTTCAACATCACTTGGTCAATTGGGAGATGCAGATGAAAACAATGCTGAGATTCCACCACCAGAAAGAATGGCTGCTATCAGGAAACCAGTAACAAATGCTGGCTGTGGGGAGAAAAGAACGCTTCTCCACTGTTGGTGGGAGTGCAGACTGGTGCAACCACTGTGGATATCAATACAGAGATACCTGTAAGGATTAGACTAGAGGTCCCATTTAACCCAGCTATCCCTCTGCTGGGTATCTTTCTAAAAGAATTAAAAGAATCATACCACAGTGATATATGTGCACCCATGTTTATAGTGGCACAGTTCGTAATAGCTAAAACTTGGAAACAACCCAAATGCCCCATTAACTGGAGACTGGATAAAGAAGATGTGGTTTTTCTATAAAATGGAGTACTACTCAGCCATAAAGAATGAGAAACTAGAGACATTTATAGCTAAATGGATGCATTTTGAGGCTATACTCTTAAGTGAAAGAAGTAGGACACGCCTGAGCATCCTAATCAAGTATTTCTCTGGTGTGAAAAGCAAAGTGTAAATAAGGTTCAAATGGTATAAATGATAGTGTGAAATAGGAAGAAAATGGCTGAGTGGGAAGTGGGAAGGAAGGGAGAGGAAATAAGGGAAAAGAAAAAAATGGGAAAAAAGGAAAACAAAGTCTTTGTAAATAGGGAAGGGCGAAGGTGGTGAAGGGAGGGCAGGGGTATGGGGAAAAACAGCAACCAAGATAGATCATGTAAATGCACAAGATCCCAATGATAAATGTAACTGTGTTGTTTGCTTTAAATGTCCCAATATTTTAATGGAAAAAGAAAATGAATTTCATCTTTATATAAAATACTGTCCTTTGGTGACATTTTTTTCTTTTTTTGTTTTGGTACCAGGGATTGAACTCAGGTCCTTGTGCTTGCGAGGCAGGTGGCAGAACCACTAAGCTAAAGCCCCCACCCTGGTGACATTTTTTAACACTCCTGCGCCCAGCCACATCTGAACATTACCGAAGAAGGTGAAACTCTGGGAAGCAGCCGAAGTGAGTCCCGGCCGGCCCGGGAAGGGCCCCAGGTGCGCGGAGCCTGGGCTTCCAGGGCAGCATCCAGGAGCAAAGTATAAAGGTGATGGCAGATACGAGGGTTTCCTGGTAGGAGACAGGAGAAGCAGCTTCGTCCACGTGGCTACAATGTGTGTGCCCAAAACGTGGCAGAGGTCATGTAGCGCCTAGGTCTGAGCCTGGTCAAGCCTTGTTTCATGTTTGGAAATCAGCAAGTATAAACAAAACTAAAACAAACGAGATAGGACACATGTAAAACTGAATGAACAAGCAGTCATGATTTTGTTATATTTTATTATTGGCTAGAAAGATGTTACAACAACAACATCAAAGATCCCATGTTTTCAATACACAAATGTATTTCTGCTGGGAGCGGCCCACATGTGCCTCCTCAGCCCATGCTACTCCTCCTCTGGAAATGTCCTGTCTTAGCTGTTGTACTCTTGAAGAGCCTGAGCCATGAAGAGCTTGCCTAAGTTCTGGGCGGTGAACTCTTTGATGTTCTGGCAGTAAGTATTAATCTGGCCTGTGTGTTTGAAATAAAAAGAGAATCATGATGTTTCACAATGGTAAAATGACTCACAACTCTAATCAAAGAAGAATATCAGAATACAGAAATCATCAGTGTTTTCTTTCAAATCTAAAATTTGTTAAGAATTGATTCTACTGTTCTTTAAGGCAAAATAAAGAATACAATTTCCTTTGAGAAGAAACTGTCTTCCATTCTTGATGATATGGAGAATGAAAGGTTATCAGCTGTAAGGACCCAGTAGCACCTAATCGAAAGGCAGTGACTCTGAAGATCAGAACAACGGCGTATGAAGAGAACTGAGAAAAACAGCACTGGCTCACGTTAGCAAGTAGAAAGGAGACACTAACAAAATCACAGAACTGCAGACCAGCCAAATCCACCTGACACAGCTATGAACAGGTACGGCAGTTTTCATTCTGAGCTTGTAGAAATGTTCAGGGTCTGCCTCCCAACCTACAAACAAGAGCGTAGCCCTCTTGCAGAAGCGCTCCATTACAGCTTTGCTTGTCTTAAAAAACGAATCTAGTCCACGGCAACAGCTACACATCCCTTGGAAGTATAAGGACTACACTTTTGTTTCAACTGCTGCTTAAGGAGAGAACTGTGCCTTGGTTTCCCAAACCTAACTTCTACATGTTCTAGACAGTTTTAAGCAACTTGGATTCTTTACTCACCCAAAAAAGAAAATAGAATTGAGAAATTGTGAAAGACCAACCTGTGAGTGCGATTTTTCACTCCAATAAATTTCTCAGCTGGCTGATAGAATCAAATAACACTTAACAGTATTTCTAAAGAAATAAGCCAAATAAGAGCATGCATGTGACACACTGAAATCAACTTCTGCAGGAAGAAGGTGGTGACAAAATGTCCCCAAAGAAAGTTCATCCAGAATTACATTTATGTTGTCATAATTTAACTGACATTTTCTTCAAGTTAGGAACTTCAAGTACTCAGTGTACAGTGCTAGAATAGAAGATGAAAATGGGCTTGAACCATATGATCCTTTGCGTTACAACACTAAGCAATTATTCTCTATGAAAAGTGACCATTCTAGAAGCCAACCATGCCATGTCAAGTGTTTAGGAACATACCCCACGAAACACTGAAACTTAACAGACACACTTCAGAAACAAGCTGCTAGACTCAAATTCATCTTTCAGCCACTTTAAATATATTCACTTTCGAAGTCTACTTTTCTATTTGTAAATTTCTCATTGTCTTTTGCTTGCTAAAGAGCAGAGAAAACCAGCCATGTTTTGCACTGGCCAACAATACCTGCAACGAGCAGCGAATCCATCCTCGCAGGGGCCTGGTGTGGCTTGAAGAGTTTGGACAGGTCCTCCTCAGGGAGCGGGGGTTCTCCTCGACTCTGGCGCTGCATATTTTCCTGCTGGCGACGCTGCTGGTACTAAAATTCAAAGTGCAAATGGGTTGTTCATTTTTCTGTCCTTGGAGAAAAAAGACCTCTTACACAACTAGAAAACCTGGCTGCTCTGACTTCCAATTTTAGTTTTATAAGTGGCAGTATTTGGTAACTTGCTTCTAAGAAGCTAAATATACTAACAGTAGAAGAAAATTCCTTTTCTGCAAACTCTCGTGTCACCCTGTCCCCTGAGAGTCTGTAACTAATAACTCAGAGAATAAACAGATTCTGCAAGAGGAGGCTTTGAAAGGCTCATGATTAGTGGGTGAAAGGAGTAACTAGCATTTGGACAAAGGAGTCCATGATTCATCCTAATTCCAACAACTAAGTAATGAACCACCACACCAGGCAATCCTTTCAACTTCACCCCCGTGGAGCTAAAATCACCGTTAAGAGCAACGATGTTATCACCACCGTGTTCAGGATCGTTACCATTCTTACCAGTCAACTGTGCTTTAGCTCTGTAGCTAAGAATGAAAGCCATCTCAGACAGTTCTTCAGATACTTTCAACTCTGAATTCGTGATTGTCAGAAGAGAAGGTGGCAATATATAGAAAGACATAGGTGAACTATAAAACATGTGTGTTACACTAAAAAGGAAACAGCTGTAGAGAGCTCACAACAGCAGTCGAAAGATACCCTGTACAGACTCCTACTGGTCAGGAAATGAGACCAAGATGGAAGAGCAGAAATTGAGTGACTGGATTTCTATGAAAACTAAGGGCAATGACAGTTTTCCCTAAAGAAGGAGAGTAACCTCCTTTCAAATATTTCTTTACTCCTTATAGGGTATGAGAGTAAAAGACAAGCCTAAAAAGGCATAAATGATGCTGGTAGGTATGAACAAATGTCAAATGTGGGATTTCAATACATTAAGGCTCAAGGTATCCACAGTATGACTGGTTTCCATGATCACATGGCTCCTGGGTGACAGATACCCAAGCTGATGCCCCAAGTGAACCCTTTACCTAGGAAAAGCCAGGAGGAGAAAATCAAGTTGAGGTGTCCCCTCCCCACAAGTTTATCAGAGATCTGTAGCTACCACATGTTCAGTTTAAAAGGGTATGGTATAGATTTTTTGGTACCAGGGATCAAATTCAGGCCCTTGCACTTGTGAGGCACGTGGCAAAACCACTGAGGCAAATCCCCGGCCCTAGATTTATGTTTTCTCAATTCAAATGTGGCAAAATTATAATTTTAAATTTCACTATATGCATGAACTCTAATAATGAAAATTCCTTGAAATACAATATCTTAGCATCAGTTGATTTGCTTAGAATTTTATGTTTAAGTACTTTGAGGGGGTACTGGGGATCGAACTCAGGACCTTGTGTTTATGAGGCAGGCAGCGGCACCACTGAGCTAAAGTGCCAGCTAAAGTACGTTTCAATAAACAGAGAGAATGTAAAAACCACTTCACAGACAAATATTGTGGAATCAACTTACGTGTGAATCAAATACTAAGAACATTTTAGAGCAGTACAGTCCAAAAACATATTCCAGGAACTGTGAAAACCACGCAGCCTTCAGGCAATACGGGTGAAGAAAGGGCTAAGCGGCCACAGAAGTACACATGAGAATATTCAGGTAATCCTAGGGTTTTTGTCTGTATTATGCTATCTATTTCACAGCAGTAAGTCTATTATTTCCTATCAAAATTGATACTTCTTAATCATAATCGCTTAGTTTTTTAAAAATGAACTGAAGACTGCTAACTATGCGGCAATGAGCCACTACCAAACCAATTACAGTTAGTAAAGAAATGAGCTGTAACATTCTGGAATCTCTTTGCCACTGATTTTCTCAATATATGTATCTCTTATTTGCATAACCTTGACGTTATACCCTGAGCTTAATATACTGGCTCTCTCTAGTCAGGTATTTTTAAGTACAGGGTATAAATAATGGAAACATATTTTATAAAGATTCTTCTTTTAAAAGATGATATAGAGTATCAGCTAACAGTCAATGTTTTACGAGAGGATGTGGTGCCCTGTGAAAGGAGTCCTGGACTTCCCCGTGATACTAACCTGATGTTTCTGCTGCTGCTGTTTGCTAGTATTCCGCATGTATGTGTTGTACTTGACTATGTCTTGGCTCATTTCATCCACTCTGTCCATCAGCAACTGCAGATTCTTCCCCAGATGATTGCTAAAATGCAAAGTCACCTACGTCACTCTAAGTTATCACTGCGCCACTGCTGGGAGCAGTGCTAATATATTAACTGGGTGTGCCTTTGTTAAAGCAATGAGAGCTAAAGGCAAGGGCAGAGAAAAAAACATGAATCAGCTTAATACTATTCAACTCTGCATACCAAACAGCATGAAAGCATAGGTACATGACACAGTAACTTAAGCATACTTAGTGAGACATATATAATGCACATTTTTTTAAATCCAGTTTAACTTAAAGTTCAGTACTCCTGAAGACTTCCTTAACAGATCCCACCTCAGTGTGCAGTAAAGTTATAAGAAAGAGTCCTGCAAACTGACTCAGACCTCTGGCACACCATTTCTTCACCAAGCAGGATCCAAAGGAACACCAGTAGTATTTGCTCTGCAGAGTCGGGGAAGAGGTGCCTCTCCTGTCTTTCCTAGAATCTGCAGCAGTAAAGGCTCCATACTTCTGCTCTCTAGGATTTTCTCTCATTGCAGCTCAGTCACTAAAATCTTATGAAGTGATGCTAATGCCTGATACAATGACTCTCACATTTAGTGGTTTCTCCTGCAACCTACCTACAACGGTAAGTGTGGACAACTACCACACAGCCAGGCGCTATGAACACAGCCGGCTGGGAGAGCAGTGGCCCACACACTAGTCTCACACAGATCTTACTGAAGTCCCATCAGGAGTCAGGGTGGTATTAGGAAACAGGGGACAACAGTGAGTGTGACAGAGGGTGCCACCTTGTTGGAGCTTGTAACTGATGGAGATGGGAGCAGGGCGAGGAGAGAGATAAGGTACCAGCGTATGCGACTGTCTCCAAGATGACAGGCCAAAGCCACAAGTTAGCAGCCTGTCATACAAAAACTATCCTAGAGAAAAGAAAGTACAGGTACTGACGGCCTGAGGCGAGCAAGGAGCCGAGATCCAATTTCTGAAAACCAAAAGGCCTAGCATGGCTAGGGCGGAGCAGCCAGGTTATGGAGGCCCCTGATCAATGCCGCCTGGAGGATGTGGATGCAGGGAGGGAGACCCAGAGGCTGCATCACAAAGGGGCCCGGAGTTGCGTGTGTGACGGCTTGGACTGTGCATGACCCGCGGCTGCTGTGTGCCGGGATTAAGAACAGAATTCAGGAGAGCAGCTGAGAGTCTACTGGGAGTGCTGGCGAAGATGCGGGAAAACTGAAACTCACGCACTGTGGTGGGAATGCAAATGATGCAGCTGCTATGGAAAAGTGAGGCTGTTCCTTACAAAGCCAGATGGAATTACTGTACGAACCAGAAAGTCTGTCAGCAGCAACACTGCTGTGAAGAGCAGGAAAGGAGAAACCCAAATGCCTGCATCAAACGATGAATGGATAAACAAACTGTGGTATATCCGTAACAGAATATTATTCGGCAATACTCAAGTACTCAAATATACTATTAACAATGGGTAAGCCGGAAAGCTCATCACAGAAGGTCACTTATTCTAGGAGAATATTTTACAAATGAACAGGCAGGTTCACAGAACAGAAAGTAGATGCGGCCAGGGACAGGGAGTGAGCATGTAAAGGAAAAGCATTACACTTCGTTCGCAGTCAGGAAATGTTCCAGAACTGGTGGTGGCCGCACAACATCGTGAATGTACTGGGAACATACAGAAAACAAACGGCACGTGCGATTTTTAGAAATTGTACAAAAGATAAAAGCTCAGTCAGAAATAGTGGTAACGTGAACAAGGACGGCAGCAGGACCACGGAGGAAAGGGAGCAGAGATGAAAGAATTCTAGAGAGATTCCACACAACTAGCAATTTGTACACGCCAAGAAGAAGCAGAGGACAGAATCAAGGGTGGTGCTGTCTCCTGGCCTGAGGACCAACCCCAGTTACAGAAGAGGGAAAGACTAACGACAAAATTGGCCGGACATACTGGGAATGAGTGAAAGCAAATTCAACTGAAATACAGATTCTATCTGTAAACTAAAGCAAATTAGAAAGTGAGGGCTCTTTCTGAAATTGTGAAAAGAATACAGAATTGGGCAGGAGGGAGAAAACTTGGTTCTTAATCCCAATGTGGCAAGTACTTCATCTGTCTAGGAGTCAAGTACATCTTTAAAATTAAACTTTATTTCCTATTTCTCTTATTCCATTGTAAATTTTTAAGGCACTTTTAACTCTGAAACATTTCTTCTCTGGAAACCAGGTAAGTACTTGATTTTCTCATTTCTTGATAAGTTTCCTTTAAATCTATCCAACTCAAGTATCTGGGTATATGGCTTAAGGTAAGGAATGAAAATGACTTCTTTCCAGTAGATAATCAGATATACAGATCTACTGGTCAGATAGGCACACTACTTTATAAACAACTTCAGGAATAAATTTATTAATACTGCACCTCACATATATTCTTTCAACACATACCAAATCCATAATTACTTTTGCTAGTCATTTTGTTAGGATAACTAAGAAATAAGCTATATAAAATATTGGTGCACCTGACACATAGGGAGAAGAGAGCAAAGGACAAAGTGGCAGGTAAGTGCTGAAACAGACACACAACAGAAGCATGAACAGTTTGGTAGAACCAGGTGAAACCTCCTAGAACATCTGACAACTACAATGAGTTTTTGAAATGGAGCCGAGGGCAGTCAGACGGGGTGGATGGGAAGGGATATTGCAGGTTCTGGGCACAAGCATTATGCTCAGAGACCCTAGCATGAAAAATATAAGCAATTTAAAAAACTGTAAACAATTCAGTCATCAGGAACACGGAGACGCCTAAGACCGAGGGGAAGGGAACTCTAAAACTGCAGGGCAGACCACAGTCATTGTGTAGCGTGCTGAAAGCATGGACAGACAGTAAGCCTGACTGTGCTCTAAGGAGAACGGACCACAGCAAAGGAGTAGGATGAGCACCCAGTGTGCATTCAGAAAGATCACTACAATTCTGAAAGAAGAAAAGGTTGCAAGCAGTTAGTTAAGAGACTGTAAAAATAACCAGGGAGAGAAATAATGAGGCCTTGACCTAAGGTAACAAAAGTCATGGGAATAAGATGAAGTCACCCCAGGAATGTATTATGGAGAAAGATAATTTTACTTAAAGATGAGCACTGTGGAAGATGTAAACAAACCTTAAGAATTGCAGTTTCGTAGACCACAAGCGAGAGCGTTCCCAGAAGAGGCTGTGGACAGTTTGACATGCCGATGACTGTCCTCACCCAGCCTCCCAGCTGTAAGAAGCCTTGAACTTGGGCAAGAGCACTGATGTTAGACAATGGCAGAACACTGCAGAGCATGCTCAGTGGGAAGTGAGGGAGGCAACATGGCGACCGAAATGCCTATCAGTAAGTTAACTATGAAACAGGAGAGAAAATGCTGCAGAAAGTGAAAGAAGTTGGATAATAATCACACAAGTTTGAAGGTGTTCACTTTGTAAGTTTGTTTTTTCAAAATGAAGGAGGCTTGTTTAAATGTTCTTATTTTCAGGAGATGCCAACCAAGTATTTAGTCATATTTACCCCTTACTTTCATATGGTTTAGAGTGAAAAAGTAAATGTTTATGTATAGAAATGGGCAGTGGTGCTATGACAAGACACACGATTAAATCTAAGTAAAACATTCCATGGATGAACATTCACTGTAACATGCTTTAAACCATCTGGAGTAGAACATTAAAAAAATAATAATGGGAAAAATACATTAATAAAGAGAACCAAAAAGAACCGGGATAGAGGAGGACTGAAAATCTCTTGAGGAAGGAGGAGCAGCTCAACTGAGTAATACAATCTCCAGAAGCAAGGGCAGAGCAGAGCTGGCCTTAGAGGACAGATCATTCTTTGTCACCCAGGAAAGAACTGAGGCCCAGAGAGCTACATTAAGTATAGAGATGCCATGAGCTACATGACTGACTGTTAATCAAGCCATTCATGCCAATAAGCGCAAAGGAAATCAGGCAAAGGGAAAGATCACCACCAGTCCCATGACAAGGAGGTAACAGGGAGATCAGGAACACTGGAGCAAACAGAGGGAGGTGCTGGCACAAGTGGAGAAAGATCTAGTACCTGTCGCCAATCCTGAAATTTGGGAAACTGACCACACTAATTTTAGCAATGAGAAAGGCACTGCTAAAAGACTCCCTATCCTTCCACCACATGTCTTTAAAGTACTAATATTATATGCTGTGAAAGGGCACTGCCACAAGTATGTATGAACTTTCAAGTTTTTATAACATTTATATTATAATAATGCTCTTTAGAAACTAACCAATCAGAAACACTAAAAAAACCTGCACTGTATAAGCCCTTAAGGGCACCAGGAATTCTCACTCAGTACAGACCTACTTCATGGTAACATTCATGGAAAGATCCATTATCCAGAACAATTCTGTGGGGATCTTGTCAGTACCAGTGCAACCAGGACACTGAAGGAGTTACTGCTCAGTGCGCGGTGTTTCAGTAACACGGGCTTTCTTTCTATTGCCACGGAAACAAAGAACTGCAAACAGATAACTTAAACAGATGTGAAGCAAGACATGGAGTGCGAAGTCTGCCCTGGCTACATGGTCAGTGCATGCTTAATGTAAGACGCTCACTTACCTTCTGTAAAAAGAGGAAATAAAAACCGAACTGTTTGTCAAGTGTGAAAAGCTGAAGGCTTGTGTTCCACATTTTTAAAAATAAAGACTGTCATGAAATAACCATTACTAGGACATCTAATGAAAATAAGAAAAAACCTAGAATTTTTTTAAAAATGAAAGCAAACATAGTGTGCATTATTTAATAGAATAAGTTTATCTGGTAAATCCAAGAACTGGTACCCACATATGGGTCAGCAAAATGTTTAAGGAGTGAAATAAGAATGACTGCTGGTGAAGCTTTATATGTACAAAAACTCCGTGGCAACTGTCCCGGTCACCACGTTACTAATGTTAGAAATTAAAGTTAGGATGCACAAAAGGTACACCCAGCTCTTAGGAACAGCATTATCAGTGTGGCTCCAGAGGATAAGCACTGTGTCAAGGTTGCTTTTGTGTTTTCCCCCCGAAAGAAACACCAATTTTCCCTTGAAATTATATTTCACCAGGAAAGCAAAGAGTCTCTCTTCCTAATCTACCTAAAAATATAGAAGATAAAACCATACCAGAATACTGTTCTAGATCTTAGCTGCTATGGCAAGCTGAGAACACTTCCTTGGCTGTTACAGCTGCTGCTCTGGACAACTGGACATTGCAGTCCAGCCTGAGGAAAGGTAAAGACGTAAATTGTATATGCAAAAGCTTTTATGTAGTAAATTTTAAGTTATTATGCAACTATATACTTAATATATCAAATGTGACCTCACATGCTGAAAAAGGTTCTTAGCTCAATGCTTTAACTATAGGTGTGTGGAGAGTGTTTGTGAAAGCAGTGAGGAAAAACATGACCCTTGAAAACAGACAAATTTAAGGACTATTATGCAAGTATGTTTGCAGTCAAACAGTACACTCTTTGGTGCCAAATGAGCCTGCAGCCTGGCTGTATCACTTAGCACTCCATTTACCATTCAGTCCCCCTGCTGCCTCGTCCGGACCTTCGTGTGGCTTCTGTGATGATTAATGGGATGGAAGGTGCCCCACCCCTGCCCCTCCCATGGCAGGGCATGGAGCCAATGCGGCCCCTGGCTCTGGGGTCATCTCCCTCGTCCCCTCTGGGCAAACTGCCAGATCTGCATGTCCCTCTGCTCTGAGTGTCTACCCAGGATAACTAAACTCTTCAAACTGCTGCTCAGACCAGTAGCTTGAGAGAATATACCTTGCTTCTTACAGCCAACAAGCACACCGATTACCTACTCTCTCCATTTTCTATGGAAGGGTACTGCCAGATTATCTTCACCATGGAAAAAAAAAACAAAAAACAAAATGCCTGAGGGGCACTGAAAGGAGCTGAGGATGTGGCTCTGTCCACACCTCTGCTACAGCAAGGACTGGGGCCAGGTGCTGCTCAGCGCAAGACTGCTGGCCCACATGTGCAACGGGGGTGGAGGCTGGCGGTGAATAAAAAGAGATAGCTTATTTCATAAAGAAACAATGTTCTGGGACATCTCAGTCGGCATTTTAGAAGAGAACAGTCCAACTAGACCGCTAAAGCAGTCACACTGGAGGAAATCACGTCCCTGCTGTCAAAGATGGCAAAAGCCAGTGTCAAAATTTTGACTTGAGCTGAATCCTCAAATAACTGCCAGTTTACTAATGAAGTCTGCATCTGAACAAGGGCACCGCAACAGTATGGGGAAAAAAGCATCTCTGCTCTCCTGAGCACTGTTAGGATCCAGACAGCACAAGATAAATAAAGCCTCTCCCACAAGTGCTTCTCAGATCAAAGCATGCGCAACTCAGTACAAGAGTGGCCATTAGTACTGAAACAATGTGCTTTGTTTTACCACTTTGGCGGTTTTCCCAGGGCTGGACATGTTGCTACATACACCTCAGAAAACTCAAAATGGTCTTAGGTGATTTCTTTCTCTTACTGCACAAGAAAAGCCTATGTAAATTCATCTTCGGCAAGAAGCAATAAAAAGGTCCTCTTCACCAGGCAGGGCCACTTACCTGCTAGCGAGACTGAGCAGCTCGTGCTTATCCGCCACAGCTGACTTCTTCTCCAGCTCCCACATCAGGACGTTGATCAGATGTGAGTTTTTAATTACTATCGGCACTTCTTCAAACATGTGCTCAAAGGTGGTATTTGCCTTTTTCAACCTGTGAAGCATGTTAAAAATACTTCGGTCTGGTGGCCAAAAATGTTCAATTTGGCTATTTCATACATTTTACCTAATTACAGGCCCTCTCCAGGATCTTTCCTGTAGCCATATTCTTTAAAAAGCAAAACAGGGAGAGGAGCTAGAGTTTTACAGAGTAAAACATATACAAGTAATCCGAGTGTCAACTTTAAAAATGATTCGAATGTGAACTATATGCTCAGAAAAATAAATTTTTAGCAAAAGAACTATTCTTTGCTATTGGATACCTTAAAATTTCACTGACATTAAAATGTAAATGTCATGGTTATGCTACATAATCTGTATCTAAAACACCGAAAATAAATAGCTAGGAAAAATACTCTATATTTCTTGGAAAGCTCCCTTTTAGATGCTGAACTAAAAAAATTAATAATCAGAACAGTCACAGCAGAGTCACACACAGCAGCGCACAATGCAGCAGTCACTCTGTGTGCAGGAAATGTTCATGAGCTAGGTCCTCTTCTTAAAAACTACACACGTTAATTATTTCTAGAACCAAACAGAAAACCAGAGATGAATTGTTCTATACGAAGTCAAAGCCACTAACTCTGGCTTCATAATAAAAATTTCTACAATTAACAGAAAACTGAATTTTAGTTTTTAAAATGTAAATATTCCAATGCCAGTAAGCACGACCACAAAAGAGCTCCATCAGTTAGTTTTCTGCATATCACTTCTGTGAGGCACATCCTTTACAAATCCTTCAAGTATATCTTTTTTCCCACCCCCTCACGAAATAGCTCACAAAACAAGACGTGAAGTCTGAGGCAAGCTTGCAACGAGCCAGCCGCTGACCTCTTTAATCCTCCCTTTATGCTATCATTTATTTCTTCAGATGCAGTTTAGCAAATTAATTCCATCTCTAACTGAATTCATTCCTGGTGAAAACAGATGAGGTGTTCTATAAAGAGTAATTTAAACACGGAAAGAGACAAACCTAGTGGCACTGGGCATACAGAAAACTGCGACAGTCCACATGGTGAAAGCATTACCATAGCACAACCAAGGATTCAATAAATGTGGCAAACTGAAGACTTAAAAGAAAACACTCCATGCTTTACCATACGCCCCATGGGCCCCCAAACACTTACGCTTCAGGGGAAAAATCCTTCTCTTTACAAACTTCCATCAGTTTAGGAGTCAGTCTGTATGCCTTCAGTGAGAGAGACCCTTGCGCAGTTTTTATGGGATCTTAAATAAGGAAAAGAGAAAGACATTACTAAAAATTTTGCCACCACCATGTTCAAATAACACTGGTTCTAGCCACATTCTGTTACTTATTATACAATATCACATCTTTGCAAAACAATCAAAATAAATAATCAGAACACAACTTGAAATAGATTCAAATCATTTATAGCTAACAGGAAGTAAAGAGATACAGGGATCTATTTTACTTAGGATAACTTCCTCCCTAAAGTAAAAACAGAAGATTAAAAATATAGTTAAGAAATTCTCAAATCCATTCCTCAGCTAGAACCACTGAAGTTATTATGAATGTAATCTATATTTTATAAATCCTGTATAGCTAAGAGGAAAACACCGATGAATACTAAACATGAAAAAGTGTCATATGCACTGGTATACTCCAGTCAACTAATTTAAAATGAATAGCCTTGAAAACAAATTTATCCATCCTAATAATCACTGTTCATATTTCTTGATCAAAGCAGATTGTAAAAACAAAACCACTAAGTCAAAGTGCTGTCACAAAAGTGTCTTTTTAGTTTCAGAGAAACAAATTTTCAGAACTAACTGCTTACACACTGCGCGAGAGAGGGAGCTTAGCACTTGCCGCATGATAACGGCTCTGGCGTGCCAGTATTCGCCTAAAACCTGTGTTAACATTCGTGTTGTCTGAAACTTAACACAGTGAAACTTTTAGCAATAGGTGATAAAATGAAAACCAAAATAGATTGAAACAAGTGGAAAATTCATCAAGGTCTGATGATGCAATGTTTCCAGCCAATATAAGTACACTTTAACAACTTGTTCTTTACTATAATCCAATTGTTAACATACTGAAACAATTTTGGGGCAACTCATAAGATTGATCGTATTCATTAGTATTTTTTCTGACAGATACTCAGAACGTTACATTTACTTCTCAGCTGGAAACTATATGCAAGTCTGCCAGATACGGCAAACTGTGAGTGTTTGGGGAGGGGGAGGCTATAAAGCTGTTAAATTGCCTACAGTTCTGATACAGCACAGAACATCTGGTCTGGAGAGCTTGAGGAAACACCATTAAATAGGCCGAAAAGAAAAAAATCTTTGTGCTAAGAAACAGTCCAGGTTTTGTGCACTGCTGTCAGAGGTATAAAAAACTTGGCAAACTGTGCTACGATTGGTCAGTCACGTAGGGAGCCAGACACTGCAGCAATCGGGGTTTGTTAGACATCTGGTTGAGTTCCACAGGCCGGTCGGTGAGGGAGGGGAGATGGCGGAATAAAAATGAAGCAGCTACTCCAGCATTCCAAAATGTACACATCAGGGCTCTGATAGCAAGAAAAATAAACAGAAAGAAGGAAACCCTGTCTAGACTTAGCTGCTGCTGAGGCTGCTGCAGAAACAGGGTTGGTATTTACTTGAGAAAGCCTGCCAGGCTGCTTTTACAGGCAAAAGACAGAAAGCAAAAATAGCAGTAATAACACGAAGGGAAGAAAAGAATAATAACGGAACCTCCTACTAACCGTAAATGAGAACGACCGACTCTTCAATGGCGTGCTGGTAGCTGAACTGAGAGTCCAGCAGCGCCCGGGTAACGAACGAGGCATAGTAGGTGGACTGGTACCAGCCCACGTGGAGATGGTCGATGTTCACGTGGCGAAGGCTGCGCATCATTTCCATCTGATACTGGACTGGGTAACACAGAGGGGAGGGAAAGAGCAACCTTATCACGGCACCGCACTAAATGCAAGCTTTCCAGAAACAAATTCTACAGAACTACTTATTAGCTATAAGGAACAGGATACTAGAGTGTAAAATACCCCATTCAGCGTAACAAAACCACACTTCCAAATCATTCCAAATACAGGGGTTTTCCTTTACTCATTAATGAAAAGACCATTTTGTAGAAAAGGTACTAAAAAGACAATGCTAATGCCTCCTTCTAAACAAGCTATCATTAAATGTGGTTTTTGCACCTCTTATTAAAGCTCCAAAAGTAATAAATGTTTAAAGAAAAATTCATGTAATTACTAAACTGGGTGGACTTAAGATGTTTCATTAAGATGGATTGATGAGCAAGAATAGTTATCAATCTCTTCTTCAATACAGCCTTTAGAAGTGGAAGTTAAAACAATCAGCTACCACATCACTGATATAAGAACAGAATATAGACTACAGCTGATTTAAAATTTTAGAATTCATTTCTGCCTTCATCTGGTGCCCCCTGCTGCATATACTAAATTTTTAAAAAGCCTTTCCCTTGTCTATGTGTTTCCTTTGTGTTAAATAATAGACTTTTTTTATTAGAACTGTTTTATTTTAATCACCATGTACAGAATGAAAAGGTTTAATGACTTTTACTTTTATCAAATTAGTCACTATAACGTATACTATTAACTTAAAGCAGTATCAGTAGAAAAAGAATACAAGCCGAAAAAAAAAAAAAAAAAAGCAGTATGAAGGGTCCAGGGATTTAGCTCAGTGGTTCGCCTGCAAGATCCTGAGTTTGATCCACTGTACCCCCCACCCCCCAAAAGCAGTATGGCCCAATAATGCATAACAAGTAAAATAAATGAAAAAGTTTTATAGTCAGCATAATATCCAAACTATTTCTATCAGAATGAATGAATGTTACTCCATGTGGAATAACCAAATTTGCTTAACTCCAAACCTAACCATTTCCTGTGTCTGTCATTTCTTTGGTTCCAGTGGTATTGTTTTAACACACAAACAGGACCTGGGATCACAAGCATAACAGAGCTCTCTACAGGTACACCATCTTCTTTGTCAACACTCCTTGCTAGGCAGAGAAATCCTAAGTCCAGTTATTCTAAGGATGGTTGTCATGCTACAAGGCAGCCACCTGTTAACTACTTAAGAATTAAGTGTTCTGAACTTCTCTTTTGCTTTGTAGAAAAGCCAAAGAAAGGAAACACCCACAGTTGTGCTCTCCCCCTCTGGAAGTCCATGGCAAAGCTGCAACAGAGCTGAAGCTGTGCCACTGTCAGGGTACACATGAGGTCAAGTAACTGTGCAAAGTGAGCTCGCTCATTCACAAAGGAGCACAAGTAGTACTGTGAAGGTGCTTTGACCAGCACTGCTTCTCTCGTTGTTTGCTTTTAAAGAGTATGGGGAGAATATGATCATTATGTATATAAAAAGTGTGCCAATAAAATTTATTTTTAAAAAATAATGGGCACCGGGAGAAGGTGATACGTATATACCAAGCCAGAGTTCCTGTAGATTTATAAACGACATGTGGAAACAATCCCTTATTGTCTTCTTATAGTCTAGACCAGCGGCGGTGAACCTATGGCACACGAGCTGAAGGGGGCTATTTGTAACATTGAAAGCTCTGAAACGTTCGCCATCGCTGGTCTAAACTGTTACTAACAAATACCACCACCCTGGAGATCTACTTTATGTACCGTATGATAGCCTGAAGCAGTATAAACATGTATGTGTCCATTATCTTTTATCTTAATATTCTATCTCCCCATGCTTCAGCTCCTTTAACAGATCTACTGGGCATCAACCACATACACTGAGAAGTGCATAGCATCATGGCTACAACCTCTTCCTGTTCTAAAATTCTAATCAAAATACATGATTTGGCTAACAAAGTTTAACCACATCTAACTTGCATATTAAAAGTTCCAGTATTCTAGGTCAAAGAGGAGTTGAAACTAAAATTTGGTATTTAAAAGGAAAGAAAAGAAGAGATGGGGACAGACTACTTAACAAATGATGGCACAAACCAGATTCAACAGAATGATTTTTTAAACCAGTACTTACAAAGCACCTGCTTGTGTACCATCTCGCCATAACAAAAACAGAGGTTGTTCTCCCAACTTGAAGATGGAAGAGAAGAAAAACCTTGCAATCTAGAGACACTGTATCCCTTGGGGGATGGATCTTGATGTCCACTTCGTGATCCCTCTCTGATGTTTAGTTTTCTCAGCTCCAAAAAGATGTGAGCACTCCCAACCACAATGCTAGGGCTCCGCACTGTTCTTGGGATCTCTGACTTAAAAACAGTGATTTGCTTATTAGCTAAAGCAGGGCCTCTAGTGTGCATGCATTATGATTTAAAATCAAATTTCTCTTAAAAAAAAAAAAAGGTCTCTAATCTTGCTAAGACTCCCCTGAAACAGCCTGAATAAAAATAGATTTTATAAGGGCACTTTCAGTGTAATGAGGTAAACAAACAAACTCCCCAGATCTGTAGCAAACTTCCAAATTCCTTCTTATCCAAAGGCTTACCTATTTTACCACCCCTCCAATAAGAATAAGAATGAAAATGAAGTATTTTTCTACACTCCAGGAGAGTCCACAATAGAAGACTGTAAGTTCAAGGTTGCTCAATGTATAAATAAATCTGATCCCACTGCATTTACTTCTGGGGACTGAGAGGTAGAGAGATCAGCTGGATCACTGGAGGGAAGAATCAGGGGAACATGCTGGCTTTCCTCTCTTACCACATGCCAGATTTTAGGAGGTTTTAAATTCACTTATTTGTAAGTCGTAATGGTTTTCATATCACCTAAATATCTTACGTGAATATAAAAATGGTTAAGAGCAATGACAGGTAAATTGATAAAACTGCTTTTTAAAATCTGCAATTCATTGGAGTTTTATTATTATACAACAAACCTGTGCTGTGCCTATTCTACTCAAGTTTCAGGGCGTTATCTTAATTTGGACTTACTGCTCAACTTAAGGATTTGTTTTTGAAAGCACGCATTAAAAAACCATGGCCTTTAACAGCGCCATGTGGAGACACCGCACAGAGACAAACAGACCTAGACGTGAGGGTAGGAAAGGTGGGGCTGGGGGACTGGAGACTGGCAAGGCCCAGGCCTCTGTTGGAAACCTGACCGAGTTTGCAAAACCAAAAAAGTGGCACCGTTTTCTACTACGTGCAAGGTGGGGAGTAAGAGAGACCACCAGTGCGGGAGCTCTCAGGCCTGGTCCAGGGCTCCTGTTCACGCAGGTGTGTTGCGCTCGCCTCCCTCCCCTCACTCACTGCTTTTCTTCCTCCTTCTACCCAAACAAACGTTCACAAAGTACAAAGCTCGCCTCTCTCTGCAAGGACCCCAGTCAAAGTAAGTAGGCACAGGAAATACAAAGCAGACTGTCCCACTAACCTGCCCCCAACCATGCTCTCAGCAGCCACCACCAACCCACTGTGTACCCTGTCGCCTGTGGCAGAGACAAGGAGAAAACGATGGCGTGGGGACTGCCACTAGTTTTACACTGTGAGTAGGAAGGGTCATTCGGGCTGACCTGGAGGGGAACGCCATCGCTTCGGATAGGGGCAGAGGGCAGCATGATAAGCACGCAAGATGAATTCAGCCCCAGTCCTCGGGTAAAAGGGAAGAGCCTGAGCCAATGGGGCACTGTGACAGCCCACAGGTGACGGACGGTCCGGCCCAGCTCACTTCTCTGGGTACAACTTGAAAAGAGGGTACCAAAGCCAGCAAAGGTTCACTCATATGCAGAGAGCGGCTCCTAACACAGAAATGGGCATGGTGGCCAAACAAACAAAAGGAAAAGATAAAGAGCCAGTAACTCCCAACTGACACTGACCGGGAAAGGAGCATGAGGCAACTCTGCAAAGCTGCTCGGTTTCCTTTCTCCAGTTCTCCAGTTCTCCTACTCGACAGAAGCCAAAGCAGCAGTTTCAACCACTGACGTTCACTTCGAGTCAGGTTAAATACTCCCAGGGAGTCTCCCAAAGTGAACGAACAGCAAGGGGTAAACCCTTCTGGAGAAGAATATTTTTAAATTTATGATGATGTTCAACAGAGGGGTCAGGGTTGTGTAATGAGAAGTGTAGGCAGGAGCCTTTTAAGCATTCTCAGTTTAAAAAGCAAACAAATTACCACCTGAGAAGCAGCAAATGAATTATAAAGACAAATGGGTAGTTACTACTAAGCCACCTCAAATTACTAACACAAAAGCTGCACTCAGATGCAACTAAGGTGGTGCTGCAAAATGTGGAAGGGTTATAAAAATGAACCAAAGTTTTATAAATCTCCTTGACCTCTGCAACTGTCTTAATTAGCTATTCTCCCAAGCACACGAGAGCCTGGTTCACAACACAGCCTAACTGTTCCAAGTTTCGCCGGCTCTATCCATCCTCACTTTTTCCAGGTACCCACTTCGCAAAACAGTTAAATCTAAAGTGCCCACAGCTAATGCTGTCTTCACTGAGGTAGACTGCCCAAAATTCCTTTCAAAAATCCACATTTGTTGGGATTTCTCTTGTTTTACTGTGATACAAGAAAACACTAAATAATACTGTGTGTGTATGCTGTCTTGTGTTCAGATCCTGTATGTGCAGTTACATGGCCACCAAACAATGTAGGAGTCTACGGTCCCAGAGATCATGAGGAAGAGCTAAGGGACTCGAAGAGTTTCAGTGCAGAATAATTCACCACAACTCTGTCACTCTCAATTCCTCCCTCATTTTTATATGCACTTTTTTACTTTTAAGTGAACTATCATGAAATACAAATTCTTATCGCAAAAAAACCAAAAAATAAAAAACTGTCACAAGTGGAAAGACTGAGATAGGCTAAAAGTCAGAAAGCAGAGTTGCAACATACTTAAAAAAAACAAAAAAACAAAAAACCTTGAGGGCCACCCAGGATGTAGCTCAGTGGTATCGCCACCTGCCTCACAAGCA